CACACACACACACACACACACACACACACACACGCACGCACGCACGCACGCACTGTTCCTAGGTTTTGCACCAGAGCTCCAAATTCTGTTTGATCTTAACCTTGCAGACACTTCTAGGGCTGGGAGTTTCCAGCAAGTTGGTCTTCCACCACCTAAGGAATTAGCAAACCAGAAGGAAGCTGGGTGGTGAAGGGCTGTAGGGCCCCTTCACTCTTTCCCAGCAGAAGGGTGCTGAGGCAGGAGGCATCACATGACAGTGGGAGTCACCCTCCTGAAGCCAGTTCAGCTGATGGGGATGGAACCTCACAGGCCTCAGCTGACCCCCTCCCAGGCCCTGCCTCAGACAACCCAACCCTCCTTTCCAGCTGCTGAGGCCTCTACCTGAGGCTCAGGGCACACATGCTGGAGACATAGCCAGCCCCAAGGCCAGTAAGATTTCTTGGAATCCCCCTTCCTGGACCGGCCCCCATGTCAACAGGTTTTCCTTTTAGGTCTCTTCCCCCAGAGCTGCTTAAGGCTTCCTCAAAGTAAGGCTTTGCAGGAAAGTGCTTGGTAAACTGCAAAGCACCGCACAACTGTGGGTTCCTGAGGGCCATGTGTTCAAGGATGCTGTGATTAAAGTGAGGAGAAAGGCACCAGCTTCTGTGCTGCAGCCTCACCCCCCCCCCCAAACACATGCCCATGGAGCTGTGGGAAAGGAGGAGGAGGTGCTGGATGAAGCTGGGAACGGTAAGGGCAGGCCTGGGAAAGCCTTACCCAGCTGTCACCAGCCTCTCTGGAGCATACTGGCTGGGATCAGCAAAGAGGATACGAAACCCCCTCAGAAGCTCAGGGTCCTCCAGTCTTGAAAGTTCAAAAAAGGGCTTACTTGAAGGGAGAAATGCTCTGAACATGACAGTGTCCCCCCAAGCACATCAACACCATTTTCTGCCACATGAGTGGTTGAAAAACAGCAATCACAGGAGGGTAATGCTTGAAGGTCAGGGAGCTGACTCGCCCAAAAAAAGCTGTAGGTGCCACGGAGCCGGGAACTGATGGAAGGGTTCCTGTTTCCCCATCCTCCGAGCACCCAGGAAGGAAATGGAGTCCCTACAGAGGTGAGGAGGTTCCAGAGCCTACGGTGGGCCCACCTGTGGCGCGGGGGTGGGCACCTGGCGCTAGGCTGTGCGTGCGTGGATGTGCGCTCACGTGTGCTCAAGCCGTGTGTGCGGGGACCATGTGTGTATGTGTGTAGTGCGCGCGCGTGTGCCCCGCATGTGCACGGGCGTGGCGGCGGCGGGCGCGCGACCCGGCCGCGGCAGTGCGTGCCCGTCGCTCTGCGCGCCCGCCCGCCGGAGCGCAGCATCGCCTCCGGCCAAGCGTGTGCATGCGTGGGGTGAGTGAGCGAGTCGGGGGGCCGGGCGGGGTGGGCTGCGGAGAGCAGCGGCGGGGGCGCCGCCGTTCCCAGGACGCCTTGGCACTGGGCCCAGCCCCCAGGCCCCGCGGCGAGGCGGCAGCTGGGGCCGGCCGGCGCCCCCCGCCCCAACAGCTGGCCGCGGCCCGGGGGGCTTCAGCAGGAGGAGAGGAGGGGGCGTCGGGAGGGGACTGCAGGCAGCCAGGCTGATCCCCTCGTCCTCCCTCCCGGGTGCGGGCCGCGGGGGACGGCCACGGAAGGGCGGGGCCCCAGGGCGGACGGCCGGCGGCCCTCGAGGAGCCCCGAGAACAAAAGGAGACGGCGACGGCTCCTCCGTGGTCAAAACAACCTGCGCTGGCTGCGCCCCAAGGCCCGGCCGCGGCCTCGAAGCCCTTCACCTTAACCCCTTCGCCACCGCCTCCTCCTTCCTGCTTCTCGTTGGAGGCCGAGAGGGGCCGGCCCTCCCAGGAGCCGGCTAGGTGCGGGCTCCGGGCCGCAGCCGAGCAGAGGCGGGACGGGACCCAGACGCGTAGCGCTCCTCGCTGCCCTCTGATCCCCCTCCACCTCGCACCTCCTCCCTGCCCCGCCCCCTTTCCCACCTGGATACCGGGTAGACTTGCCTACTCACTGCTACGTGAGGATGGGAGGGGTGGAGAATTGATCCGACCCGATAGCTCCTGCAGACGTTTTTATACCCCACCTCCCTTGCAGCTACGCTTTTCCAGGCGGCGCGCTCTGTACCCTACAAGCGGGGAAGAGAGGTGTTCCTCTCGCAGGGCGCGGGGCGCAGGTATGGCGGGGCCTCAGACACACACTGCCCAGGGGCTGGATTCCTTGAGAGCCTCCATTCCTCCCCAATCCCAAGTTCCCGAAACCTGTCTCTCTGCACCCCCGCCGCGCCCAAGATACTAGCTGCTCCTGCACCGCGCTCTGGGGCCGGGCGTGTCAGACCTGGAGCGGGAGCCAGGGTGGGACGCAAACCCCTGTCGAAGGTTGGCGTGGCTGCCACCAGTGAGCGAGCTCGCACCTTCTGTGCAAGCCGGTTCCCGGACAGAACCTAAGCTGGAACTGAAGTGGTCTTGGAAGGACGTGCCGCCTTCTGCACCCTCGGCACCACCCCACCCCCTCTCCCTTAGGCCAGTTAGGGGCTTATTCTGGGGTTTCTGAGGGGGTGGGGGACAGGGCTAACACACACCCTCCCCCGACGCTTAAAGGCGCGGAAATCTGGGATCGCCCCTGGGAAAGACAACCACCTTTGCCCCCTCCCCGTACAGCCTAGCACCTCTCGGACCTACCGTTTCTGCCCTCGGAGGTCACCTAGTGCCCGGCGCCAGGCCCACCCGCTGCAAGGATCCAAAGTTCACTGCAGGGAGGGGAGGGGGCGGCAGGGGTGGGGTGGGGGCAATGAATGAAGCGAACCAGCCCCACGGCTGTCGCAACTCACCTCGGCGCTGACCAGACGCAGGTAGCAGCAGAGAGACAGGAAGAGCGCCCAGCAGCGATTCATGCCGACTCCGGGCCCGGCCCCGCGGGGCCCCGGACGCGTGGACCGAGCGCGCCGCCCCCGCGGCCAGGGTGGAGGGCGGGGGCTGGGGAGGGAGGTAGGCTCGGCTGGGGTCTGCGGCGATCAGGCACTCAGGCCGCTGCAGCCGCCGCCGCGGCTCACCCGCATGGCCCCTGGGCGCCGCCGCCCCCGGCCCCGGCTCCGTCGTTGGGGGACTGGGGAGGGCCTGGGCACGGGACCAGGGTCCGAGGCCGCTACCTGGGCGGATCCCGAGCCGGAGCGAGCATCCACTGCCGGGGGGCTGCGTCGCGAACCCGCCGAGGCGTCTAGCCGTGTGGGGGCGCCCAGGGGACTCCAACCTCCAAGAGGAAAAAGAACACGGCAGTCGATGGTTCGTCTTCACTCGCCAGCTAAAGGCGCTCTCCTCGGCTCGCCGGCTTAGCTTTTTTGCAACGTTTTCTGGAAAGGCCCCCGAAGTCGGAAAGCGCAGAGCTGGCCACCTCAAAGCCAAAGTCTCCCCCCGAAAACTTTTCCCAAAGTTGGCTTTGCAGCGGCGGCCCGAGTACCAGGGCAGGGAGAGGTGCAAACTCCCGCCCGGGCCGGGTGGGGGGGCCGGAGCGTGTGCGCCCTGGCGTGGGGCCCGGGCGGCGGGCACGGCTGCTCCGCGCGCGCGGCGTGCCCGCTGCGCGCTGAGCCGGGCACGGCAGACAGGTGGATGCGGCGCGAGTCCGTAGATCCGTCTGCCCTCCCGCTCGCCACTCTGGGCGTCCTCTGCGGGCTTCGAGCTGCGGCTGCTCCGGCTTTCTCTTTGCAACGAGGCTTGAGGATGGGCTTTTTTTTTTTTCTTTTTGCGCGTGTCTGTATGTGTGCGTGTGTGCAAAATATCTCTATCTCGGGAATGAAAGATGGGCGCTGGCGGCCGGAGGAGAGCCCTCACGGAGACGGCGGGGGAGGCTTCGGGCGCTCAGGGAGGCAGGCGGGCTGCTCCCGGCGGCTGGAGGAGAAGTTGCCACCCTTTCAGCTGTTCCGGCCTTTATAGATGAGATGAGAAGGGAGAGTGCGCGAGAGGTGGGTGGAGACAGCCTTTCCTCTTCTGGCCGCGAGTCAAGCACCAGGAGGGAAGGGGGTGGGGGCCGGAGCGCGGGAGGGCCTGAGATGAGGATGGAGAGTGTAGGGGTCTCCCAGAGCCCAGCAGCCACTCTGTCAGGAATTTGGCCCCTGGAAAAGGAAAGCTAGGGGCGACCAACCTCTGAGCCCCTCAACACTGATGGTTGCCTGGCTCCACGTGGTTGGGGAAGATGTCCCCAAGGTCTGGGCCAGGAGTGCAAGCCCGCACCGCCAGAACCAGATATTTGCACCCTGGCACAGACATGTGGAGAGGGACTCAGGCTCTGCAGCTTGATTCAGACCTTGCCCTGGCACCGAGTAGCTGGGTCACCTTGGGCAAGTCACTTCCTTTCTGTGCACCTCCATCTAGCCTCAAAGTGGGATCACTGTGAGGACTTAATGCCAGCAAGGGCGGAAAGCACCCAGCCCCAACCAGCCTCAAGGTGATCACACAAACCCCACAGCCAGTACCATTCAGCTGAAAGCTGGGTCCACGTCTCCTCCTAGCTGGTTGCCTGGCACACAACAGGCACTGCCAGTGCTGACTGAATTTGAATTTGTTGAACTGCAGAGTCACACAAACCCCTCAACCCTGCAGCATCCTCACAGGGCTGCCATCATGATCCTACAGCCACTCTGATGTTTACTACCTCCCTCAGCCCCCAGGTTCGAGGCCCAGGGTCCCCAACCCACGCCAGCAATCACACAGTTAACACCTTCCGCCCCCAGCTTTGCGAGCTGCTATGTCCCTGTCTTCAGCAGTCACACGGTCACAGTCACAGAGTCACACGCATACCCGCTGAGCGCAGCACCCACCACGGGACTCACAGGCTCACTGCATCACTCTTCTCCTGGCTTTGGGACATTTTATCTAGTCCCCTTGCAATGTCTCTCAACTGCCCTTTGTAACCAAACATCCTTCTAGGGTGGCACTCTGCTCCTCACACATGCACACACCCTCTGTCACTAAGACAGGCACACCAACATCTCTTCATAAATCGTCTTCTTGGACCTGAGCAGGAGTGGTGTGGAGGAGGGAGGACTTCCCAGGAGGACCTCTTTACAAACAGCCACACACACACACCCTCTGCCCATTACCTTGTGGGCAGCACGGCATAGCGGCCAAAAGGCAGACCAGGGGCAGGTCACCTTGGTTCAAATCTTGGTGTGGTCACTTGCTGGCGGATTAATCTCTCAGCACCTCGATTTCTTCCCCCTATAAACTAGAGCTAAATCTATAGTTGGAGGGATTTCAAAGAGCATGGGAAAATTTTAGGGGTGATGAAAATGTTTGTCATCTTTGCTGGTTCACGGGCATATACATATGTCAAAACTGATAGGTGCAGTTTACTGTACTTCCGAACGGTTGTAGAAAAATTTTTACCTACCTCATAGAGCGGTCTGAAGGCTCAGACAAGATAATCCACATGGAAACACAGAGCAGGATGCCTGGGTGGCGTGTGGAGTGCATCATTCAACACAGCTTTCGAGTGTCCCATGGTGGCCCGGTGCTGCAGAGACAGCATAATGCTAATGCAGGGTCCTACCCGAAGGAGCCCCATCCAGAGGACAGACAATTGCTTAAACAGATAAATTAGGAGACAGGGTGACAGGGAAATGGGGTGTGGGAAACAATCCCAAAACACAAGATTTGAAGTCTAAAGACTTTGAGATAAAACATGCTTCACTGGACAGCTAGGTGATCTTGACCTTCTATATCCTTACCTGTAAATGAGATGATAATAGCTACCATTATTATTGAGGTGACCTTGTTGTAGGTAGTGTTCTGATTCTGCATGTAGCCTCTCAATGCTCCTATAAGATATATTACTCTTAACTTATAACTGGAGGAAATGAAGCACAGAGAGGTTAAGCAACTTGTTCAGGGTCACACAGCCAGTAAGTGGTAGAGCCAGGACTTGAACCCAAGCAGTTCAGCTGCAGAGCCCACATGCTTGAATCACCATGTTGTGCTATCTCCTGGCACATAATGATGGTGACAATAATTACACTTTTTACATAAGGCCTGTTTGTGTAAGCATCAAATACATTAATAGATGTAAAAGTACTTTGTCAACTGAAAAGTGCTATACTAATATGAGCTCTCAACTTGCATACAAAGTGCTGTAGGAGCACAAAGGAGGGAGCACACAGCTCAGCCAGGGGAGGATTGCAAAGAAGAAAAGGGTACTGGGTGCAGCATCAGTGAGCACCTACTGTGCGCAGAGTCCTGCATGAAGCACTGGGTAATAGAATGAGGAAGGAGACCCAGTCCCACCTGGCATCTGAGACCTCCCAGGCTCTTAAGTGAGGTAGACACAAATCATTGCAATCCAGATGTCTTTGTGCACTGGTTAGAAATGGCAGGACAGGGACCACAGAGGTGGCAGGGGCCGTATGGCACCAGGCCTGAATGCCATGCTAAGAACCCCTTTCCTGTATCCACTCCTTGCAGACACAATGTCAGTGTGTGGGTCTTGCCACACGAACAGTTCTCTAAAGAACACCTCCTCTCATCCTCCTGTCAGGCTCAACTTAGTTGTCCCCTCCTCCTGGGAAGCCTCCCTTCCCCTCCCCTCCCCACCCCACCCCCCTGCAGGCTTACTGCTCTTTCTGGGTTCCGATAGCAGGTACCCTATGGTATATATTGTCATTGCCCATTTATCAGTCTAGCACTAGACTGAGCTCCGGGTGAGCAAGGGTCTTGTTCCAGCTCCCATCATACAGTAGCTGCTCAATAAATATCTGCTGAAGGAATGAATAAATGAGTAAACATCTTACCTGTGTCTCTCTCTCTGAGTCCTGGTCTGTTGGTGCAAATCTGTCAGACTCTGCCTGAGGGGTGGAGAGAGAAAGGAAGGCCTCTAAAATCGGAAGCACAGGGCATGTGAGGGCCACCACCGTCACAGACCTGGGAAGGCCTCAGCCCATCTCTGGCACTGGGGCCACTGAGGAATCAGGCTTGCCAGTAGGGCTGGGAGCAGGTTATGCAGAGTTAGGGCCACACCCCCATAAGGCTTACCCTCCAATCCCCTGGGAAAACCAAGTGGCCATAGCCTTCAGCCAGTGCTGGACTGCCCAAGGCCTGGGCTTTTTAGACTGGGTGTTTAGAGCAATCCGTGTGCACCCTTGTCCATTAAAATCATCTCACACCCTGGGAGGGGACGGTCCCACGGCCAGGGAAGGAGCTGGCTTCAATCCCAGGGCTAGACTCAAGTCCAGAGTGCGGGAATGCCGCATCCCGTGTACCTTACTCTGCTGAGAGGGCCCTTGCCAGGCAAGTGTGCCTTTCTTGGCTTGATGGAGAAGGACATGGGGCTCCAAATTGGGGACAGTCCAAGGCCATGCCACAAAGGACATGATACCCCAGCACCGGAATGTATGTCGGCATAGTGCATACTCTGCCCCACACCACAGCGCTCCAATCTGCTCCCCCAGCCCCCTGCCTGCCCCGTCCCCACCCCGCCATCTACATGACTTTGCCCTGCTTCACCCTCACAGTCACAGCAAGGGCAGCATTATGTCATATGTGCTCATTTTACAGATGGGGAAACTGAGGCAGGGCATAGGACCAGGCTTCGCATCAAGGATCGCCTGGTTTTAAAGCCCCGCTCTACCGTTGACTCACTCATAATCTTGAGCAAGTGACTACCTTCCTGAGCCTCAGTTTGCTCATCTGTAAAATGGGGATAACAGTGGTAATTATTGTGTGGCGTCAAACAAGTTAGTGCATCCTGAGTGTTGAAAGCAGGAATGAGTGCCCCACAAATGTTGGTTATCCAGATTATCATTATTACTCCATGCTATATGCATATGTGCACATACAAACACACACGCACCTGTGAGCTCCAGAGACAGGGCTAGGAGAGGAGCCCAAGGATGGGAAAGGCAGGTCACATCATCTGGGCGGGGGAGGGTATCCTCACATACAGCTCCCACCCACTCTGTTGGAGACCCCCACCCTGGTGAGGCTCTGACAACTGTGGCTGTCAGAGTACCAGTAGCAGGGAGGCAGGAGAGACCCCAGGAAGGCAGGCAGACAGACATACCGACCCCCAGGCCTAGGACAGCCTGAGGTGCCCACCTCACTGTCTCTGCGGCCTTGGCCTTGTGTCCTGTATACAAAGGCAAGGGAAGTGCAGTGTTTGTTTTCCTGGGCCGAGTGATGCATTTTTAGCAACTCCAGTCTCCAGACAAGGAAGAGGATGTTTGGACGGGGCAGCTCAGGTCTACCTGTCCTGGAAGCTGGCTGGAAGTGGGGCAAAGTCTCCTGGGGTGGGGGGAGCTGGGTCACACGGGGCCGGGAGAGGACCCCACCAGGATCTGGTGAGAAGGCTCATCCTTACCACACCCCCCTTTGCTGCTCACCCACTGGGTCTTGGATGCTCTGATCATCATGACAGCCCTACTTACAGAGCATTCATCCTGGGCCAAGCGTTTTACCTGAACTGACAGCAATGAGGGAGGTACAGCAGGTATTCCCATTTTATCAACAAAAGAAGGAGGCTGGCTGAGTCCTTACCGGCTTCCTGGAGGGCCAGTGCTCTTATGGTGTTCATACCTGGGGAGGGGACACTGAGGCTCAGAGAGGGATACCAGCTTGCCCAGCACCACCCAGCAAGGAACTGGCAGTGCCAGGATTTGAATCCAGGGCTATGATGTCAAAGCCCACGCTTTTGCCATCTCCCTGTTACGTGATACCTTCCTGTGTGGGCTGGATGAGAGCTGCCCAGCTTTGCATATTGCATTGCACGTAGAACATTAAACAAATGAGCTTGATGGAGGAAGTTGTGCAGGGCTGAGGGCAGTGGGCCCCCGGGACCTGCCCGCCACCCCATGGAGAAGTCATTTACAGTCCCCCAGATGGGAAGCTGTGTAGTAGATCTGGGTAGCAAGCCCTTTCTAAATCAGGGTGTCCTTGCTGCCGTGTTCTGAGGATTTGACTGGGGACTCTGGAAG